CAATAGAATTCCAGATACGAATAGCATTGACAAAGAATAGCCTTGCAGAGGTTAGAAAATTAAAAGATGGTACTATCAAGTCGTTTATTCGAGCTGATTTAGGGAATATTAGTTTATTGTAGATATAGCTAGGAGCATTGTCTAGCAAAAGTCGACATAGAAATATACAATTCCTGGCTTTCCAATACTCAGAGATTTCACAAACCAACAAACGTGACCTCCACCCAGAGATATGGTCATATTTCGCTAATCCAAATACGTAGCGTTTTATGTGGTTAAACACAACATCAATTTAATGGGCAGATTGAGAATTCAATTTGCTGTAGACAAGTACGGGATAGCATATGATCGGTAACATTAATTCTAACGCAAGTTTTTTTCTAACGTCAACCGGAGTGTAGGCGGCAGTCATCCTCAAATTTCTTAAAATGCTGTACACTCTGCTGACAACAGAGTTTACGTGATCGTCACATGAAAGGCTAGAGTTAATAATAAAGCCAAGATTTGACACCTTTGACACAAATATGAGACAACTATCGGCAATAAATAGTTGCGGAACATCTGAGTTGTTGTGTTTCTTAGAAATAGATAGCACATATGATTTTTCACTATTAAGGCCAAGGTTATTTCTCAACGCCCAGGAAGAGATGGATGCTAAGTCATTGTTAAGCTTAAAACAAAGTTCATCTACATTCTCGAAATTTGCTGAAAGATAGAGCTGTACATCATCAGCATATCGGCAAGGCCACGAAAAATGAAACCACATAGATTTTTTTTTCTGTCACAAAGGCCAAAATTTTTTTTACATTTCAAATGTGAAATATGTATAGAATATGGCAGCACTGTATGCCAGTGCGAAATTTGTGTCTGCTTTGACATTTTACATTCTTTTCATAATTGGCACGTGCAAGGCGTAGTTGGAAAATATACCAATGTCGGCGAAAAAGGTAAATTTTGTTGTTATTTTTTTGTACTTTAGGCAGATGATGACTTTTTTTGGATAGAATATAAATCAAACTATTGATTAGCAAGGAAATTTGTGTACAAAGCTTGGCTTTTGGACCAATTAAGGCTTAAAGTAATTAGCCGCAAATAAATGGTGACGTTACTGACAAATTTTTATAAAATGTTTTTCTATGCATTAACTAATTAGAAAAGAAGTTGGATGAGCTGCTTTTTTTTAGTATTTTTGAAGTGCTTTCATAATCAATGCTTAAATGAAGCATTATTTGCATATAGCAGGGTATTTTTGCAAAAAAAGATTGCGTGACGTTACTGACGGTTTTTTATTATTTTTTTTTACTTTTTTGCTTAATAATTTTGTATTTAATTGCTAGACTTCGATTCCTGGTGCACAAAGAGACAAGCGTTATGTTGAAAAGCTAAAAGAAAGCAACAAATACGACGAGTACAAAAAGAAAAAGGCCGAAGCAATGAAAAAATTGAGGGCTAACAGAAAAGAGGAAGAAAAACTAATGCCAATAAGTGAATTGGGAAAGACGATTTCTATGCGCCGTGCTGCTGGCCGCAAAAGAAGCAAAAAATATCGACAGAAATTAAAACAATCAGCTAAAGACACCCAAATTGAGCCTGCAGCCTTAGCGAAATCATTCAGAAAAGCTACAGGTGCTCACAAACATTAGGAAAAGCTGTGAAAAAGGTATCGCGTGCTTTTCCGGCTTCACCACGCAAGAAAACAGCGGTATTGACGCACATTGTTGCGAATTTGGACGAAGTTGAAAAACAAAATTTAGTCAGTGTTGTAACAAAAGCTAAGCCCAACAACCACCCAGTCACCAGTCAGCTTCCAAAGGAAATTGGAAATTTTTTCGAACGTGACGATATCTCCCAAGTTTCGCCGATAGCTCGACATGTAAAGAAATATAAATGCGCTGAAACAGGGGAAAAAAATTTTGATTCCAACTAGACACATGACCCTTTCTATTAGGGAAGCTTTTGCATTATTCACCGAAGAAAGAAATAAAAAACAGCTAAGTAAGTCAAGCTTCCGTAGAGCATTTTATGTAAAAAAAATGGAAATAATATCAAATTTTTCAATTATAGGCTGCTGCTCACTATCTTTTTTTAAAAAACATCGCCCAGAGCACGTGAAGCCCATTAACGAGCTACCCCATAAAACTGAAAAGTAGGGAAAAATTACAGATTTTCATTTTAATGATGCTAAACTGGTCAAAAACCAATTTCAACCCTCAAGCTATACACATCATTGAAGAGATAATTTAATTAACTAACATCTGTCATACAAAAATCAGCTCTAAAGGGCAAGCCCGATTTACTAAAATTTTTTTATGAGATTAGTGCGAAAAGTGGTTTCGTCTTAATATCTCCCCAGGGTTGCATCTTAAAACTCCTCTACTATGATTTTTTGGCCGTTTAGGGTCCCTCTATTAACCCAAGAAAAAAAAANTTACGTGATTAAAACATAAAATATTAAGCCCACCTTTTGGATAAAAATCATCTTTCATCCTTCCTTTTTTAAAATACTGGGCAATAATAAACATGATCTCTTTTCAATTCGCTCATTTTTACACAAACGTTCAGTAACCTCAAAACACACTTCCAAAATCCGGTGACGTTACTGACGGCTTAAAATGGTCATAACTTCACAACAAAACGAGATATAGCAAAATTGTCTGCGTATGAAACAACAGTTATGACGAGAGCTTTCATATTCCGCTCTCAAGTTGGGAGAAATATTTGTATTTTGTAAAGATATTGACCAAAATATGTATACGAGCGTGACGTTACTGACGGTGGCCTTGCCCAAATGCATGCATGTCCACATGCTGGCAAATATAAAAAATGTCATTTATGAATAAACTAAACAATAACGGTCCCAATATTGAACCTTGTGGGACGCCAGCAAGTAGTGGGTTTAGCGTAGATGACTGAGAGCCGATTCTAACACGCTGACCTCTGCCAACCAGATAACTCTGCATGCCTTGCTCTAAAACCAGACTGAAACGGAGATAGCAAATTAAATCACTAATGTGCGCTTGAACCGTGGTGCTGATCAGACGTGCTTTTATCTCCGCTCTCGGTTTTGTTTACTTAAAATTCAAAACTCGTGCGATTGTTATTCGATTTGTACTTATGTACTTCGGTGGTATTTCTTGGACACTTATTTATTTATTCATATATCTACAATGCCTTGAAGCTGTGGTCAAAGGGTTGACCGTAGTCAACCTAAAAAAATTCAATGTGTGTGAAATTTTTCACTTAGTCTGTGCTAATCTGCTTCCAGCTGACCTTGAATTTCTGCAAAAGTAAAACCAGACTGAAACGGAGATAGCAAATTAAATTCACTAATGTGCGCTGGAACCGTGGTGCTGATCGGACGTGCGTTTATCTCCGCTCTCGGTTTTGCTTACTTAAAATTCAAAACTCGTGCGATAGTTATTCGATTTGTACTTATGTACTTCGGTCGGATTTCTTGGACACTTATTTATTTATTCATATATCTACAATGCCTTGTAGTTGTGGTCAAAGGGTTGACCGTAGTCAACCTAAAAAAATCCGATGTGCAAAGTGCAGTGAAATTTTTCACTTAGTCTGTGCTAATCTGCTTCCAGCTGACCTTGAATTTCTTCTTCTTCTTCTTATTTCTTCTTATTTGGCGCTGTAACCGCCTAAGCGATTTTGGCCGAGTCCAAAACAGCACGCCAGTCATTTCTCTTCTGTGCTAACTGACGCCAATTGAAAATGCCAAGTGAAGCCAAGTCCTTCTCCACCTGGTCTTTCCAACGCAGAGGAGGCCTTCCTCTTCCTCTGTTCCCAGCATCGCGGCCCGCGTTGAATATTTTCAGAGCAGGAGCGTTTCTGTCCATCCGAACGACATGGCCAAGCCAGCGGAGCCGCTNACTTGTCAGAACAAAAAAGTGCTAATCAAGAAATTACTCTACAAACTATTTTGAATGAGCTGGTCGCTCTTAAAGCTGAAAACTCTTCTGCGCTCTCTTTGATAAAGACTCTGCAAAATGATAAACAACTTCTTCTCAAAAAAGTTGATTCTCTCCAGCTTGAAGTTCAGGCTGTGAGTAGTAAATTGTGTGATTTTGATATGGCTGCTATCATTGCAGATGTGAAGACTGCTGTCATAGACTTTCGTAAGAATGTGCGCGTATTTGCAAATGATGTTCAAGTGAACGCTACCTCTGCCCATGCAAATCCTCTTCAAGAGAATACCACTCATATTGCTCCGCTGATCTCGCCTTCTATTAACACAGCGCTACCTGCTTCCTCTCTGTCTTCTTCGTCACCCTCGCCTGCTACCGCCAATGATCCCATTCCTACTCCACCACCTGTGAAAGACAAAAATGTGCCTAAGCTGCCCAACATACATAATTCGGCTACATCGCATATCTCTAACTCTTCGCCATCTTCGTATGCTGCTGCTAGCGCTCCCATTCCTACTTGCCCAACTGCTAATGACAAAAATGAAAACAAGCAGTCCAACACACAAACTTCGTCTACATCACAAATCTCTGCTGGCGACATAAACAATGCAAAGAGGAATGAAAAAGCAACTGCGAATAACAAAAACGCAAACAAGCAGCCTAACACACAAACTTCGGCTACATCGCATTTCTCCGACTCTTCTTCGTCATCTTCGTATGCTGCTGCTAATGCTCCCATTCCTATTCACCAAACTGCTAATGACAAAAACGTAAACAGGCAGTCCCTCACACAATCTTTGGCTACATCCCAAAACTCTGCTGGCAAGTTAAACAGCGCAAAGAAGAACGAAAAAAAGCACCATTGATTGTTGTTGGTTCGAATGCTAGCAAAGAGCTTGATGTGACATTTCGACTGAAGTGGCTGCACTTGTCTTCGTTTTCTAAAGCGGAAAACATAATTGATTATGTAGCTAAACATGCAAACATTAAACCCAGCATGCTTTCGTGCTCTCCCCTAGTTAAAAAGGATGTTTCTATAAATACTCTAAAGAGTGTAAATTTTAAACTGGGCGTATCTAATTTGCACTACGAAAAGCTCTTAAATCCGGACTTATGGCCTGCGAATGTTGCTGTGCGCCCTTTTAAATTTATGCCAAAAAACGACGACTCTCAGACAAAAACCCAAAGTTCGATAATGCTAACCACAAGCACTTAAGCACTCTATTTTCATAATGTCTCTGGTCTTAGGACAAAATCTAAATCTCTTCATCTCATGAGTTCGCAGTTAGATTATGATATCTTCGTTATCATAGAAACTTGGCTAAACGATAACTTCTTCAGTCATGAGTTCTTCGATCCAAACTTATTTGAAGTATTCCGCAAGGACAGAGATGCAGTCAAAACTGGTTGTGCTAGAAGTGGTGGTGTCCTAATTGCGATCCAGAAGAAATATAAGGCGATTTTCTACGAGTTAAGCAACAATAATTCGCTGCTGGACCAATTCTGCGTGTGTCTACAAAGCCCTCGGGAATCGCTCTTCATCTGCGCTTCATACATTCCGCCGAACAGCTCAGATGAGCTGTATAAGGCGCATGTAGATAATATTTTGTCTCTAAACGCAAACTGTGCACAAGATAACCATCTTGCTGTCTTAGGGGACTTTAACTTAAACAACGTTATGTGGTCTAATATAGCTAAGACGTCTGGTCTTTTACCAAGCTGCGTGAATAGTAATAACGAGATATATTTAATTGACAATTTTTTAAGCATTGATATTAGGCAAATAAATTACTTTCACAATAAGCTTCAGAGGTATTTGGGCCTAATATTTATTAGCACTAATGTTAACTTTCAGTTGTACGAGTGTAATATTCCTTTCAAGGAGCCTGATATGTATCATGTTCCCTTGGTATTTTATATTTATTTTTACTCATACCTCAGCTTGGACAAGAAAAACACAAAAGCATCTTTTAACTATAATGCATGTAATTTTTCTGATCTAAACAGTATATTTCTTAATATAGACTGGGACATGTTATTATGTAATCTAAGTGTGGCATCATGTTTTAATATCTTTAAATCTAAAGTAGTTGAAGTTTGTCAAAACAACATTCCAATCCTTGGAAAAAAGTTGTACAAAGTTCCATGGCATACTCGACATCTTAAAAGAATAAAAAATTTAAGAAACAAATACCACCGCAAATTCAAAAAGACGACAAATTATTCGTTTTTTATTGAGTATAAAAAGTATGCCAAACATTTTAACTGCCTTGATAAATTTTTATACAGAAACTACGTTTTAAACTATGAAGCCAATATCAAGTCGAATCCTAAAGCTTTCTGGCGATTTATAACTTCGAAGAAATCTTGCTCTAGTATTCCCTCTCAATTATTTCTGGACGGAAATTCTGCTACATCCCCCATTGAGGCTGCGAATCTGTTTGCCGATTTTTTCCGCTCAAACTTCATTTTAGATAACGACTCTAGTGGAAGCCTTTCCAATACTAAGGAATCGCCCTTTAGCTTTGGATCCCTAACCTTGACCACAACCGTTATTCTTAATGGCATTGCGCAGCTTATGCCCTCGAACCAAACTGACATTGACGTGCTATCCGCAGTTCTATTGAATGCGATTCTCTTGTTTATCCATTTGTAGGCACTCGAGTTCATATAAAACGGCAACTCAAATTTATTTCAAATGAGAAAACGAATTACAAACGTTGAAT